TATGTTTGAGACCATAGAGGACTTTCCGAAGTTTGCTAACTTTACTAGGCTCATAAGAAACACCAGGAGGAGGTAGGAGGGGAACAATGTAGACTTCTTTCTATCGATTTCCATTCAAGAAGGCATTTTTAATATCCATCTGAGACATAGGACAAAGGCGATGAACAAAAGCTAAGAAGGAAATAATAGAGATAGAGTAACAAGAATAAGCAAAATTTGAAAATTGGGTCGACATATGAGTACATGAACTAGCGGTAATAGAATCAATAAACATAACATGACAAGAGACATAGTTTTTTATTAACTGAATCAAAATAATTATATCCCTTTTGCCTTGTACCATAACCCAGAAAGACCCAAACAGCAGATCTAAAGGTCGTGATCGACATGAGGTCGAATGATAAAATAGGTAGAACCAAAGACGTGCAAAGAAGAATAATCAGGAGCATATCCATACGGCTTCTAAAAAATACACAAATCGAAATTCAATGAGATTACATTCCTATTAATCAAATGAGCAACATTAAGAGTTGCTTATCCCCAAAATTCACTGCACATATAACCGGAGATTAAAATAAAACGTGTTGCTCAACAGATGTCTATGTTTTCTTTTAACAATATCATTCTATTCAAGAGTGTCTGTACAAGTACGTTTGGTGAATGGTTTCATCAAAAGCAAGGAAATTAGAAAAGGAATTAGTGGTATACTATCCAACTAAATCATATCGAAAACATTTGACAATAGTGGAATATTGAGTTTTCACAAGTGCTTGAAATGCACTAAAAATACTAAATAAGTTAGAGTGATATTTCACAAAGAATACCCAACAGAAACAAGCATAATCATCAAAAAAAGGAGACATAATATCGTAAACCCCTTTGGTGTTTCCACATAACATGGTAAGGAAGTACATACATGATCTCTACCAAGTGGTGAATTATCAATCATTAGATGTGCATGACAATTTGTCAGATGAGGAAACACCGATAATTATTTTGGACAAAAGGGTACATGTCTTGATGAACAAGGAAATTCCATTGATTAAAGTTGAATGGCGCAACTAGGAGGTAGGAAGAGTCATTTAAGAAAAAGAAGAGAAGATTAAGGCCACATATTCAGGTCTCTTTGAGTAAATAAGGTAAGAAATTTTGATGATGAAATTAGTTTACGGAAAGGATGATATAACTTCTCGTATTTTTATGAAATTTGTTATTTGATTTATTTTCAAGTCTTAAAAGTTCAGATCTCTTCTAGTGATTTGAATATTTCGATGGAAAGGAACATAAGTGGAGATCATTATTTTCAATTTTACTTGGACCAAATAATTAATTATTTATGGAGTGGGAGTTTTCTATATCAATATTTGACTCGTTGTGAATCTCGTATTTGATAAGTGTATTTTATACACTTATTCGGGGTCTAAAGTAGGGATATTTGATACTTCTTAGGACAAAATATATCCTAATTTTTTGTATTTTATGTTATATATGTAAAATTCAATTGTTGAATAAGGAATCGAAAGAAAGAAGCGAAAAATGGTGAAAATGGTAAAATCCAATGATTATAAATATCCTAGCAGGCTTAATAACTCGAGTTATAAATGCTACAAAAAGATGTCTTTTATATATTTTTCTACCATAATTAGTGCAATGCCCCTCATTAAACACCTGTCTAATCAAATCGACCTCTAATTTTAGACTTTTACTCAATTTTATTCTATTAATTTAAGACAATCCACACATAAATTTTAACACATGGAATCCCAGTTTACATCTGTATCTTTCTTCAATCCATGATGCTGCTGTAAGAAGCATCGAGAGTTTGCCAAACAAGAAAATAAATCAAGAAGTGGAATGTGACTTCTACAAGTAATCTTCAGCGGGGTATAAACAAATGGTACTGTGATAGTACCAAGCTATTGACAATACCGAGTGACTTGACAATCAATCTTAATATATTTGGTCCTGTCATGAAATATTAAATTGTGCACAATTTGAATAACAGCAAAATATGAAGACCAGTAACCCAATGAATTGTCTTAGGCAAGGTAATAAACTAACTAACTATATGAAAAGCATGTGCAATATCTAGACGAGTGATGGTGAGATAAATCAAATTACCAAGTGATCCGCAATGGAGAACCACCAAATACTGATCATTAACCTCAAAGAGTGTATAA